GCTGTGAAGTAGCGCTAGAAGAGGCAGCATTGGTTGACGGCGCAGGTGGTATAGGTGTCTCTTCTTCAGAGGCACCTAAGGAGATATCATCATCGCTACTAGACGAACTAGCTGCGACCATACATGAATGACCAACTCTGGTTTTCGATCTACACATCTACACAATTTTATACAAATAATTATATAATTAAATTCAAATATTAAAAAAAAATTGACAACACCTCCCCTATACTGAATACTATCCAAATCTACAAACCTACACATATTAACAATAGCTACAACCAATTTACCCAATCTATACTAATTATTCCAACATATTCAATTCCTAATCCAAAGGTAAATTCAACATTAAAAATTTCAATTCAACAAATTATTCAATAATTATGCCAATACAACAAAATAATAAATTAAAAAAAACTCTAGAATAACAATCAAAATAAATGGAAAACATTAAACCCAAATCATGCAATAATAAAGTAAAATTAATAATTATTCCAACATATTCAATTACTAATCCTAAGATAAATTCAACATTAACAATAAATATTCAACAAATTAACTAATAATAATTTTGCCAAAACAACAATAAAAAATATTCAATAAATTTAAAAAAAAACTATAGACTTTATCTACATTACAAAAAATACACCAAAACAAAAAACATAGCAAAAAAATAGCAAAAACAAAATACCATTAAAGTAAAATGAAAATGAAGAAACACTAACCTTTTAAATTGATGGAGATTCATGACAAAAAATGCTTGAGATCGCCGATGAAGAACAGAGAGCAGCACAAAGAGGAAAAGAAAGGTGAAAAACTTAGGAGAAGAGAAAATGAACTGAAGAGGCGGTCGAGGGCACTTATATGGCAGTTTTACAGACGGATTCACCGATGGTCATATGCAGTGTTACCGACGAATTACCAGACGGATAGAAAATTAATTATTATTTTTAATTTATTCCATTGGTGAGGTGTAAAAATCCGTCGATAAATTTTGAATTTCGCACCAAAATTTTTAATGTCCCTCCATATTTTTTATGGTTCGTCGGTAAATCCCTCGGTAACATGATGCGGTCAGAGATGCATTTAATGCACAACACTTTGAAATGCACACTGTCCGTCAGTAAGTTTGTCAGTAAAATTGATCCGCTGCCAACTTTTTGACGAACTCAACTCCATTAGTGTGGCCGTCAGTGAAGTGGTGGCATTTCAAATAATTATTTTCAAACTCTTTGTAAAATGCCGACGACCTTAATGTCATCGGTGTTGCCATTGGTGAAGTGGTGACATTTCAAGTAATTATTTTCAAACTCTCTGTGAAATGTCGACGGCATTAACACCGTCGCTGTTTTCGTCAGTGAAATGGTGGCATTTCAAGTAATTATTTTTGAACTCTTTGTGAAATGCTGACGGCCTTAACGCTGTTGATATGCCCATCGGTGAAGTGGTGGCATTTCAAGTAATTATTTTCAAAATCTCTTTGAAATGTCGACGACCTTAATGTCGTCGGTGTGGCCATCGGTGAAGTAGTGACATTTCAAGTAATTATTTTCGAACTCTCTATGAAATGCTGACGGACTTAATGTCGTCGGTGAAGTGGTAGCATTTCAAGTAATTATTTTCAAACTCTCTGTGATAAATAAAATAAAAATTAACCCCTCAACGCCGTCGATGAAGTGGTGGCATTTCAAGTAATTATTTTCAAACTCTCTGTGAAATGTCGATGGCCTTAACGTCGTCGGTGTTACTATCGGTGAAGTAGTGGCATTTCAAGTAATTATTTTTGAACTCTCTATAAAATGCCAACGGCCTTAACACCGTCGGTGTGGCTGTCGATGAAGTGGTGGCATTTCAAGTAATTATTTTTTAACTCTCTGTGAAATGCTGACGGCCTTAACTCCGTCGGTGATGTGGTGGCATTTCCAGTAATTAGTTCAAGTTACAAAATATATCATCCAAGATCAATAATTATTTCAAGTAATTATTTCATAATTGTGGCATTTCAACTAATTATTTCAAGTAATAAATATTTTGTTTTAAAATATATCATCCATAATCTAAATTACATGAAAAAAAGGGTTTTACGTAGGGCTTCATTTTGGTAGTTAGTCAGAATTTTCTTCATCATCATCATCAATTGAATTGTCATCACCTTCATCACAATCTTCAATATGAATATCATCTTCTTCATCGACAGTTGCTTGTCTGCTAGAGCTCAAAACAAAATTCAACTCTTTTGCGTCAACATCAACAAGACTATCATCGAAAACACAAAAATTTGAATTTTCTTCCAATTCAATCGAAGGAGCAACTTGATATGGTTCAACCACCTCACTAACTTGAAAGACTTCATCTCGCACACTTGTGTCTTCGTTCTCATCTTGAACAACCTCGACACGACCCCAGGGTTTCATTTTTAAAATGGACAACCTATCCACTCTTGATTGATCCTTTCTAAAAGAAAGGGTGTATGTGAAATAAACTTGTTGACATTGCTTTGCGAGAACAAAGACATCATTTATGTTGTGGAGTCTAGCTTTTGAGTTGATTTCGACCAGATCATAGTGTGAATCAACTCTAATTCCTTTGTCAGTCGTGTCATACCAATAGCATTTAAATAAAAACACTCTATTCTACTCGTTATGATATTGCAGTTCGACGACCTCTTCTAATCTACCATAATAGTCAACTTTTAACTCACTACTAGTGGATCCCTTAACACAAACACCGCTGTTGTATGTCTTTCTTCCTTGCTCATATTCTTCAGTATGGAAAACATATCCATTGATGAAATACCTGTTGTAGCACTTACATTTTCTTTCAGGCCCCAGGATTAGTGAAGACGATGACTTAGGTGCACTCCTTCCCATTTGATAAACCTTGTATGTAATGTACATCAATAAACAGTAAATGAACGAGAATCTTGTAATGACATGCATATGTACAATAATTTTGCAAGTTAGAATGAGTTTTTGAACCATGTGGCAAACTGCTCATCTTGTAATTGAAAGATCTAGGATTCGGTCAGCTGTGAGTTATTGGAGAGCAAATATTGTCGATGTTACCTGCAAGTGATAATGAGTGTATGATATTACAATATATAATTAACACTATATTACTAACAAAGTTTAATTAGTATAAACTTGCTGAATAAAATGTCTCAGCTCATCACAGTTAAATAGAACATAATTGTGTGCTTGTTTAAACTCTATTTCCGACAAATATCTTCCTCTTACGACATTTTTAGGTGTGGGTCGTCCGGTATTGGAGAATATTGACAACTTCCCACTGGAAGGCACTTCACCGCCATTATCATGCCGAGGAATGTGATTGATTCTCGTTCTCAGATGAGGTTCGAAATAGTACGAGATAAATGTTGAGATCTCCTCAACAATATAGGCCTCACATATCGAAGCCTCAACATGCACCTTGTTCTTAACCTTTTTCTTGAGATTAAACAAGTACCTCCATTGAAATATTAATCAAGTATTTTCAATTAAGAAAAACATATAAAATACTTTTATATATGAACTACATTGCAACTGTAATATCTAACTGTTTGAATGGGTACATCCATCTATATTGGACCGGTCCTCTAGCTTTTGCCTAGAATGGTAGATGTATAGGGAGATGCTCCATTGAGTCAAAAAATAATGGAGGGAATATCATCTCAAGTTTGCATAGTGTTTCGACGATATTCATTTGAAGCCTCTCAATGTGATCAACATTCAACTTGTTGGAGCATAAATCTCTAAAGAAATGACTGGTCTCCGTTAGTGCATCCTATATTTCCCTTGGCAACAAATCACAAAAAGCTAATGGGATGAGTGTTTGCATGAACACGTGACAGTCATGACTCTTCATTCCATATAATCTATAGTCCTCTACATTAACCAGTCGTGATATGTTTGATGCATGTCCATCCAGAAAATGCAGACTCTTAAGCCATTTGTAGACTAGCAGTTGTGCGTTTTTCTCTAACACGAAGCTTACTCTTGATTTTGCGACCCATGACTTATCATAAACCAACTCCATATTTTTACAGTTACAGTATAAAGCTATATCCAATCTAGCCTTGATGTTGTCCTTTGTTTTCCCCTTCACATCCATGACGATGTTGAAAATGTTCTCAAACATGTTCTTTTCGATGTGCATGATGTCAAGGTTATGGCGGAGCATATTGGTTTTCAAATAAGGAAGCTCCTAAAATATACTTCGTTTTAGTCAATTATGGGTCAAACCAAAACTAGAAAACTTTTGCTTACCTGATTGAAAGTCAAACACAATGTCACCGTACTCTGAGACAACATCATGCAACCTCTTTTTTAACTCTGCCAATAAAGAAATCTTTTCTGTTCTTTTTGTACCTGTGATTAAGTGGCAAGAAGCGACGGTGACAGTAAAAAAAAAAGCTTTGCCTCCATTTGCAAGCGTGAATGGCTTTTTATTTTCCATGCAGTATGGATATGCGAGTTTCCCATGCGTGCTCCAACCAGAAAGCATTCCATAAGTTGGAAAATCATTGATAGTCCATATCAAAGCCGTCCTCATAAGAAAATTTTGTTTCCTCGATATATCATAAGTCAGAGCTCCGGAGGACCACAACTGCGCCAACTTATCAATCAACGATTGAAGACAAACATCTATATTCCGTCCCGGGTTGTTTGGACCAGGTATGACAGTAGATAAAAACATGAACTCCAACCTCATCCACATTCCCGGTGGCAAGTTATAAACTACAAGTATGACCGGCCAACAAGAATAAGGAGCAACAAATGACCTAAATGGGTTGAATTCGTTTGTACACAACCCAAGACGCACATTCCTTGATTCAGCTGAAATGTGAGGATGAACACTGTTAAAGCGTTTCCACGCTTTGCCATCAGAAGGATGAACCATCACTCCATCAACTGCATGGTGTGCTTGCTGCCATGTCATGTGCTCAGTAGTCCTTGGTGACATGAATAATCTCTACAATTTAGGTGTGATCGGGAAGTATCTAAGTTTTTTATATGCCATTAGAGTCTTTCCCCTGCCAGTTCTAGGTTTGTAACAGGAATGCCAGTATGTCATGCACTCGGTCATCTCAGCATTTTCAAGGTAGTATAACATGCAGAAGTTAGGGCACATGTCAATTTTATGGTATCCTAAACCGAGGGGTTTCATCATGGACTTCGCAACATAGAAGTTCTCTTTCAGCCTGTTCTCTTCAGGTAAAATGCTTCTTGCCCATTCAATAATCTTGTCATACCTGGCCTTACTCAACCCATGCTCTGACTTGATGGTGAACACCTATGCTACAACCGATAATTTGTTGTGGTTCGTACAGTCATCCCATAATTGTTCGTCAGAATCTTTCAACAAATCAAAAAACCTAACTGCATCTACATTAGGTTCTTCTTCTATGATTGGGCATTGACTGACATTACCTTGATTCATTCTCATTACATCCATAACCATGTTTCTATAAGAATTAGTGTTGTCATTCTCGTTGCTAGCACTAGAAGTAGACTCAACCACCGTTTCTTCTATTCTCCTCTCACTAATATATACTTCTTCATGTGCATACCAACACTAATAATTCTCCATAAACCCTTTGTGTAGAAGATGCATCATTACAATATATGGATGCAGATACTTTTTATTTTGACACTTCCTGCATGGACACCTAATACCGCCTCCAGTAAAATTTCTAAGAATAGATGTTGCGAAATTAATAAAACCCTGAACCTCGTTACAATAATCCATCATCCGCAATCCTTGGGGTGAATCTCGATACATCCATGAACAATCATCCATGATTTATATCGAACCTCTATAAAATTATGATGATATAATGTATTAATTAACTAAGTTACGTAAATAAACTTGCAAAAATATTACTTTACCTCAAGATTATCCAACAAACCAATCATAACTTCTCATAAATATTAAAAATTCATTATCATTTATCAACGTCCATACAAATTAAAATATATAAATTTACAAAGAAATTACCACTCCGCAATACCATTGACAAAACTTTAAACGGACCCAATAAGTAAGTTATTAATTATTTCAAGACAGCACATGTACTTTGGTAGTTCCATAAAGTTTTAACAATTTACAAACAAATACAATCTTACAAAATCTAAAACAAACCATAACAGGTATAGAATTATACATTCATATACTAGAAGTTTGTTTGAGAAATAACAATAAAACATGTACATTTACTAACAAAATACATATACTAAAAAAATGATAAAATTGATATTTAATTAAATGTTAAGATTTAAAAAGAAAAAATTACTTACAAAAATTGATAAAATCCGTCGGTCGTAAATCAGAACACGGATGCTGTGACCACAAAACTTCAAGAAATATAACTTGTTGTGCTGATATGAGGGAGATTTTTGTTTGGGGGGGATGGGGGGCTAGTTGTTTGCAAATGGGGAGAGTTGAGATTAGGAACAAAAAGAAGGAGAAGTAGGGGAGGAGAGGGTCGGTAGCGTGTACATATATCAACTTTTACCGATGGTTTCACCGACGCCTCAATGATTTTGAAGGAACAATCGACACGTCACCGTACAGATCTGCCATTTTAAATTCATCGGTGAATCCATCGACAATGTAAACGACAGTTGCTATACAGCCTGTCTTTTTGAATTCGTTGGTGATTTTGTCTGAAAAAACAACCCGTCAAAACCTCCACATCAGCGACCTGTTTTTTTTACAACGATGACGTTTCCGTCCGTAATCATCGATGAAATTTTTCATCGATAGTTACCGACTGAATTACAAACGGAATATAACCGTCGGTAATTTCAACCTCAAATTACCGACAAAAATATTCCATCAGTAAATCCGTTGTTATTTAGTGAATTTCTGATAGTGATTTTAATACGATAATATCAAAAATAAATTTTAAAAATTTTAAAAATATTATTTCAAAAACAACACTTTTTTCAAAGCTGGTTGTGATATTACTCCTTGTAGAACCAAATCAATCCATAAGTTACGAGATTTATTGCAACTTCGCTTACTTTTCAATTCCACAACGGATGCTTGGTTTCAGGCAAATGAGACGACAAGTCAACGCCAAAGGAAGATGGTTTGTTAATTTGATAAATGACCAGATAGCTCCATATCAATGATTTTACACCACAGAAGTAAGAAAATGATAACTTCCCCACTTATCACGGTTGCTTTTCTTGGCCGGCAAAACAATCTGTGCTCATAAATTGTGTTTTTTTTTTTTAAATCCTTTATATTGAGAAGATTCAAGGAACGACTCGGTAGAGTGGGAGAGTGATGCAATATAAAATACTTGGAAAGAAATTGAGAAATTAAAATTAATATTTGGGTCTTTGAGGTCAAGGTTCCCAGCTGTCTCCCTTGATCCTTGCTGCCTATGCAAATTCCTGAGGGCTTCCTACGAAGATAAAACGTTTAGAAATGCAAGTCAATATGTGTTTTTAAACAATTTAGATTTTTTTATTAAAAATTAATTTTTTTATATTTTGAATAAATGTTGATCTTAAAAATAAATTAATAATAAAAAATTTAGGCTAGTTTTTACCCAAAACATGCTATTCCGGCTAGTTTTGATATTTCTTTTGAGTTTTCAATTTTTTTAGAGCAGTTTTATAAGTTTATTTAAGGAGTATCAAATATTTTGGAGAGATAGATTACTTAAAAGATAAAATATTTACTAATAAAACTTTAAATTAAAATCATATGTGATGGCTCTATTCGTTTCTTTCTTGTTTTGATTCAATTGCATAGAAAATTGAGCAACAAATGCTTAGTTAGTTTAAAGTGTTTGCTCACTTTAAGAAACTATTCAAAGGTTACTCTCACTCGAGCTTAGAAACTGTCTTTCTGACTCGGCATCTTTGCCTAAAAGCTTGACCAGAACTTGTAGGGTATCCGATGAATTGTATAGTGACAATCTGGGGTCAATAGTTTCGAGTAGCTGAGCTGTGAAGTCAACTGAGAACCCGCGTACTTACTTTGATTTTTCTTTCCTTTTCCATTCGTTAAACGTCTTATTCTCTTCACTATCTTCTTCTCTACAATTCTCTGCTTCTGCTTCCTTCCAATTCTCTGCAAAGATCCCATCATGGCTGTGGAGTACATTGGAGGATCAATTCTCTCCGCTGTCATTGAGGTTCTGAGCGAGAAGGTGACCGCTCCTGAGATTCTGAGCTTCTTCAAAAGCCACAAGCTCAATGATGGTCTTCTGGGAAAGTTGAAAGAAACACTGAATACTCTCAACGGACTTCTCGACGACGCGGAGGAGAAGCAGATTACCAAGCCTGCTGTGCAGAGGTGGCTTAATGATGCTAGACATGCTGTGTATGAAGCTGAGGACTTAATGGAGGTGATTGAATATGAACATCTACGATCCAAGGATATTAAAGCTGCCTCTCGACGTGTGAAGAATCTGGTAAGCATATGTTTTTGCCTTTCTCGTATAATGTTAGTATCGATCCCTCTGATTTTTACACGCACAATTCGAATTGTAAAATATCAGAAAATTTCATATCTTTTCTTGAAATATTTCATGCAAACAACACCCCTCACTCAATGATGCTAATCTATCCCATGCAACCAATCCTATGGTACTCTCCTCCAACCACAACTCATTATTATTCCAACAAATTCCAACCACTTTTTAATAGCCCGGCTTGGCCAGCTGTCATCTTAATTAAAACATGTTCAATCTAGAATTTGAATTAAATTGTTTTTTTTTTTATAAATAAAATAAAAATTAACCCATTCATTTTTTTTTAAATAGCACTAAATGTTAAATATTGATCTAATCATACCTTTTAAAAAAAAGTTAGTAAAATAAATTACTTTTGTATTTTTGAATGACAATATTTAGTAAATGTTATTTTTATGAAGCGCAACAAATTAAATAAAAGTCCGATCATCTAGCTCAATTGGTCACTTGATTGAATTTTATTGTATTAACTAGTGGATTATTTTACATAAAAATTATAATTTTATGAATTTTTTCTTTTAAATATTAATTATGAGTCAAAATATTTATATGTGTTCAACAGTTAGACTTATAAATAAATTCCAATTAAATTTTTTAAAAATTATTATCTATACAATACTTGTTGTATATTTTTTAATTTCAATGATGTAGAAAATCTTGTGATAACAAGTGATTTTAAGTAGTTAGATGTGTGTCTATCATAACTAAAAAAGGATCTGTTTTGAACAAATTATGTATATGACCTAATAAATGTATTTATGGACAATGAAATAGTTTAAGGCCTAAGAGGAGATTTGATTCGAGGTTGTTAAAATCACGATTTTAACATGGTATGAAAAATACAAAATAAATCCGGATTGTAAAAATAGATTGTAAAATCGTAAAATCATAAGGAATTTTAAAATACATTAAAAGCATTCATGTTTCAAATACAAATTCTTACATAGTTCAAGCACCTTAAAATACATGCTTCAAATAAAATAAAAATTTATACATAATTCAAACATCTTAAAATTTAAAATACATGATTTAAATAAAAATTCATACATAATTTAAGTAACTTTTCATTAACTAATAATTAATAAATTTAAAACAAATAATATGCTATATGTCATATAAATTAAAATTAGCTTTATTATCTTCATCAATTTTTAATAACTTTTTAAAAATATTAATTCGTTCTAATTCGTTTAAGGTCAAATATTAATAATTATTCAAGCACAATTTACCACGTTGGTCTAATTTATAATCAATTTTTAGCACTGTGTTGCAAAATTAAATTCTCATGCGATTAACTTACCTAATCCAATAAATCATTTTTTTAATTGTTGATGACAAACATCGATCTTGTGGTTTAACTCTCACTAACCTTGTCTTACATCGCATTATCAAATTATATTAATCATCGAGGAATATTGTTAACTTTTCAAGGGAGAAAGAGTCATCAATTAAAAAAATATCCCATCACAAAAGCAAATGCTATATTATCAAAATAAAAGAAAACAGGTGGCAAGCAAAAGAGTGATGCTGTGACAAAAACATCCTTTACTGCATAATCAAGTACAGAGACAGGCAAACACACACATACTTAACCGTGATTGGTTTGTCCTTGTTCCTATTCACGCTCTCTAATAGAAGAGGCAAGATTATGCAGAAATTGTAAATAGGTGATGAAATCATGATTTTATATGATTTCACCTGCTTTTGATAATTTTATTTGATTTCATTTATTTTTAAGTTTTTTAAATGATTTTATATGTTAAGTATATATTAACAAGTAAAATAATATAATTTTAAGAATTAAATCATGATTTTAACAATTTTAATTTGATCCTATTAAACTAGAATAATAATAAAAAAAAAACCATAATTTTTTATTTAATAATTGGATCGCAATTGAATTTTTATAGGAGTTTTTGAAAATTATCTTTTTTGTTATAATGATTGCCTCACAATTTAGACTATCAAATTTTTAGATATTAAAAATCTTATAGAAACTCTTTAATTTTTATATTTTTAAAATTTTTTATTTTATTTTCAGAATCAGTCGACCGGCTTCAACATGTTAATCAATTTAGTTAGATGATTGTCACCTTGTTATATTCTAGAAGCACAATATTCACTAAATATTGCTATTTGAAATTGCAACAATTATCTTATCACAATTATCTTATCATGCTTAAAAATAATAATTTTTAATAAAAGTTGTCCGTCTGAAATGTGATAAAGTGAAAGTATACTATTTTTCAAAGCTTTTTCAAACGATATCATTGTGTTACTTTTTTATGTTTACTGTGTTAATTGATGATTTTATCTTTCAAATTTTAATAACCTGAAGGGTTACTTCACTATAGACTTAATTTTTTTAATAAATAATCTCATTTTTTTATTTTATTTTTTTATAAACACCATCGTTGCAGCTGTGTTAACTTACTCGGTACCAAGACATGGGACGAGTTTAATAATTTTAGTATTTATATGTTCCTAAATTCTATCTCATATACATGGATATGTTCTGCCATTGCAGGTAAGGAATTTGTTTCCAATTCTTAATCCAGCCAATAAAAGGATGAAAGAGATTGAAGCAGAGTTACAAAAGATCTATTAGAAGCTTGAACGTTTAGTTAAACACAAGGGTGATCTGCGCCACATAGAAGGTAATGGTGGAGGGAGACCACTGTCAGAGAAAACAACTCCAATGGTTGATGAATCTCATGTATATGGAAGGGAAGCTGATAAGGAAGCCATAATGGAGCCCTTGTTGACACAACACAACACGGATGGCTCAAATTTATGTGCGGTCCCTATTGTGGACATGGGCGGGATTGGTAAAACCACTCTTGCTCAGTTTATCCACAACAACGAAAGGGTAGAGCAGTGCTTTCAAATCAAGGCATGGGTCTGGGCTTCTCAACAATTTGATGTTGCCAGGATTATTAAGGATATTCTTGATAAGATCAACGCAAGTACTTGCCGCACCAAAGAACCAGAGGAATCTCTAATGGAGGCAGTGAAAGGGGAAAAACTTCTTGTTCTAGATGACGCGTGGAACATCGAGTACAATGAATGGGATAAACTACTGCTACCTTTGCGGTATGTGGAGCAAGGAAGTAAGATTGTCGTGACAACACGGGAAGAAGATGTAGCAAGAGTCACGCAAACTGTCATCCCCTCTCACCGCTTGAATGGAATCAGCGATGAAGATTACTGGAAGTTGTTTGCAAGGTATGCATTTAGTGGTGTAAATTCTGGAGCAGTCTCACACTTGGAAGCATTTGGCAGAGAAATAGTGAGAAAGTGCAAAGGTTTACCGCTGGCTGCGAAAACTCTTGGGGGTCTTTTGCAGTCCGTAGGAGATGTCAAGCAATGGGAGAAGATATCCAATAGCAGTATGTGGGGTTCGTCGAATGAAAACATCCCTCCAGCTCTAACATTGAGCTATTATTATCTCCCTTCACACCTCAAACGTTGTTTTGCTTATTGTGCAATATTTCCCAAGGATTATGTATTCAAGAAGGATGGATTAATCACTGAATGGATGGCACAAGGGTTTTTAGTCCAGCCCAGAGGCGTTGAGGAGATGGAAGAGATAGGTGAAAAATACTTTGATGATCTTGTCTCCAGGTCACTTTTCCAGCAATCAACTCGTGATTCTTTTTTCAGAATGCATGACATCATAAGTGATTTAGCTGAATACGTGTCAGGAGAATTTTGCTTTAAGCTTGGTATTAATGAATCGGGCTCTGGGTTGGAGGGTGAACATTCATGCACGCTTCCAGAAAGGACTCGTTATTTACCAATCACTCGAGCAGCCTTGTTTCCACCATATACTGGGGCAGGACGTCGGATATTTCGTAGCATTCATGGAGTCCATCATTTGCGCGCCTTGTTTCCACTATATATTTTCGGGGAAGTTGATATTGAGACGCTGAATGACATCTTGCCAAATCTAAAGCACTTGCGAATGCTATCTTTATGTCATCCAAAAGATACTTCTTCTAAGTTGCTCAATTCCATTGGCAACTTAAAACATTTGCAGCACTTGGACCTTTACGGGACATCGATTGAAAGGTTACCTGAAAGTGTGTGCACCTTGTACTATTTGCAAAGTTTATTGTTAAGAGAGTGCCGACATCTCATGGAGTTGCCATCCAACATTTCCAACTTGGTCAACCTACAACATCTTGATATTGAAGGGACAAATTTGAAAGAGATGCCACCAAAAATGGCGAAACTCACAAAGCTTCGAACTTTGCAATATTACGTCGTGGGAAAAGAGAGTGGGTCTAGCATGAAAGAGCTGGGGAAGCTCTCACATTTAAGGAGAAAAATTTCTATTCGGAATCTCAGAGAGGTTGCAAATGCTCAAGATGCTTTGGATGCCAATTTGAAGGGTAAGAAGAAGATTGAGGAGTTGGAGTTGATATGGGATGGCAATACAGATGACACACAACAGGAGAGAGAAGTACTTGAGAAATTGGAGCCTTCTGAAAATGTGAAACAGCTTGCCATTAATGGTTACGGGGGTACAATGTTTCCAGGCTGGCTTGGAAACTCTTCTTTCTTAAATATGGTAGCGTTGACTCTTTCTGGATGTAAGAACTGCATGTGCTTACCACAATTGGGGCAGCTGACATCACTTGAAGAGCTCCATATTGAAGGATTTGATGATGTCGTGGCACTTGGTTCTGAGTTCTATGGAAGTGACCCTTCGATGGAGAAGCCATTTAAATCCCTAAAAATATTAAAGTTTGAGGGGATGCGAAACTGGCAGGAATGGAAAACAGATGTAGCTGGTGCTTTCCCTCATCTTGCAAATCTCTTGATAGCAGGTTGTCCCGAGTTAACAAATGCCTTGCCTAGTCACCTTCCTTGTTTATTGAGGCTTGAGATTCAAGCGTGTCCACAGCTTGTGGTTTCAATTCCAGAGGCTCCCCTGCTCACCGAAATCAATGTAAAAGTCACTCAAACTTTCATCCCCTCTCAGCGCTGGAATGCACTAAGCGATGAAGATTGCTGGCAGGTTCTTCTGGCAAGGTATGCATTTTAGGGGTGCAAATTCTTGAGCAGCCTCACACTTGGAAACATTTGGCAGAGAAAGTGCAAAGGTTTTGCACTCTGAAGGAGATTTCGAGCAGTATGTGGGGTTTGTCGAATGAAAACATCCCTTAAAGTTGAATTAAGTTACTGAAAAAATATTTTTAAACTGTATATATATATATATATATATATATATATATATAAACTGTATATATATATATATATATATATATATATATATTTTAAATACACTAGGTATATTAAGTTTGTCAAGCAATGGGAGGAGATATATTAAATTACTAAAAAATAGTGTTTATCATTTTGTTTGGTTGTCCATAAGGTTTTGTTACGCAATTTGTCGACATTACGGCACAGAGTTGTTGCATTGGTCCTTTATTTATTTAATTTTATCTTTTGGTACATCCTGGCAGCAGCCTCCTTTACTATCGAAAGGGACTGAGTTAAATTCATTGGTGGACTTCAATGGTTATTTCAATTCAATGTATTAATTTGGTCTCCCAAAATATCCAAAAAGAGAAAAAAAATATACAAAATACACCAATCAAATTTAATTAATTAACTGTAGTTGGTTTGAATAAAAAGAGAAAAAAATAGTTTGAATACATGAAATATAGTTAAAAAATACTAATGAGATAATAAAATTCATATTCATTGTGTCTCAAAAGAGAATTAATGCCCACTTTCTAAATATCATAAGCAATTAAAATAAAATAAAAAAAACATTATAAGCTCGGTGTATTGAATTGTGAAATTCATCCTCTCTTGCCATCGAAACCTGGGAGTGTTTTGACTTTTGGAGTGGAGGGCTGAAATAAAATTAGTTATATTAAGTTACTAAAAAAATACTTTTAAACTGTATTTAAAAAAAAATTATGTATATTAAGATCTTAATTTATTTAGTTATATTATTTTGCTATTTACTAAAACTCGATCTAGAATTGTTCTTTATCAAATAAAGTATATATCATGCTGAAACCGATAACAGAATAAAAGAATAAGGAAAAAAAATAAAATTGATGTGTTTTAAGAATGATAAAATAATTTTAAGGAATTATAATGAAAATTAAAAATAAAAGTAAAGAAATGAATTTGTGAAAAAGTATTTGTGTAAATCTCAGTTAAAAATTAGTATTGTTATTGTGAAATTATATTGAATCTGTAAATAAAACAAATAAAAAAATAAATATATTTTGGAATAAGAAAATGGTCTTTAGAACTTAGTAAAATAACTTATATAATTCTAGCAATGATGGAAAAAAAAAAATAGATTTCGACATAAAATTACATATTTATTAGTTTTATGCTATTGAGTATAACTCTCAATCCAACTATTTGATTAAATTGAAAATCTATAAGAAGACTTCTGACACATTACTCTATTTTAAGTTAAAAGTTTAGGGTATATCATTAAAAAAATATTAACAATAAAACTAAAAATAACATGCAAACTTATTAGTGATATTTTCATAAATAAGCTAGAAAAACTAAAAACTTAGCTTCTTCTTCCACTCTAAACTACCTAAAACAACTATAATATAAAAAACAAATTGAGAGTTTATTCATTGAAACCCTTGAATCAAGATTTAAGGTGAGATAGGTGAAAGAATAAGTATTGAACACATCTTGATGACTCAGTATAATTTTTTAAATTTGTTTTTAATTTGCATTTGATGAAAAATATACAAAGAATCATAAATGAATTAACTCAAGCATTATGAAGAAAATATTAAGATATTATAAATGTGTTGACTTTGGTTGAAGTTCTGAAACAACAAATTCAAATTCAAATGATAAGGGATGAAGGATAAAAATATGTAGATGATGATAAATTGTTTTTGGTGAAAGACATAGCATTGATATTTAAAAAATAAATGATGTTTGTCATTTGCAGCGGATCAAGGTGTAATACCCTATAATTAACAAACTTATATTCTTGACATGACATGAGATCCCGTGAAGAATTTCTAAAACTAAAAGGAATCAATGATCTTGCTAAAAAATTGATGGAGACAAACCATATCAGCAAAGAGAATATTTCTAGTGATGAAATTGATTAAAAATTAGTTACTCGATCGAATTAGAGATGATTAATTAAATAATTGTTTGATTATGATTACTTATATAAAAAAGATATATTTAAAAGTGTTAATAATGAGAAAATCTTACCAAGTTTTCAAAATATAAAATCTTGCAAACAATTATAAATTATAAAAAAAATAGAATTTCATGAATTATCTTTTTATAATACATATATAAATTTTTAAGTTTTATATAAGAAAATTATAATTTTTAGATTTTTTAAATCTTAATTAATTTAGTTATATATTTATATTATTCTATACTTTAAAACTCGGGTCCATCCTTCATCTTAATGGCATAGATGAAAACTTATTATTCTTATCTTATTCATGCCCATTTGAAGATAGTTAATCCAAACTTAATTCACTTGATGATGCCTTAATCATGCTGATATAAAAGATTAATACATTGAGCACCAAGTGTGGACATAATCGGTGGCGGAGATAGGAGGCTGGCAAGGACTCCAGCCTTATAAGGAAATGTTTTTTCAACATTTTTTTTAACAATGTTTATAGTTTCAGCTTAAATAATAAAATAACCGAAATCTTGGCCTTTTAAAATATTTTTTTTAATTTAGCTTTTTTTAATTTTATTTTGTGACGCAGCCCTAAATATAATATAAATAATTTAATATTGTTAGGAAGTTTTAAACCGCCTTCCATGAATTTAATGTTGTATATGTCGGATCCTTCTTGCCCGTGACGGTGACGGCAGTCCTGCCTATCGTTTCAATGTGGCCCGAGGTGAAAACATTTGGCCTTTTTTTTTAAGTACTGAAAATTTAACATGTCATGTGCTAAATTCTTGAAGAACCCAGTAAATGCCAAAATCAGGATTCATTTTGAAAATTAATTTAAAATAAAAATGAAAAAAAAATAATTTTTTTTTCAAAAATACTTTCACATCTCAAAAAACAAAAATTACCTGATGTAAATGCACGTATCCACTTAGATATAAAACCCCAGCAAAGCAACCCAAGAAGAGAACGGGGGCTCTCTGGAGCATTTGGCATGGGAAAATGAAAGGGCACGGTCGTATTCACCTGTTAATTTCACCGAGGTTGTATATATTCTTTGGATTTCCACTGAAAATTGTGTTTTATGATTTTTTTTTTAAATATTTGTATGAAATTAATATTTTCCAAAAATTAAAAATATTATATTTATATATTATTAAATAAAAAACATTTTAAAAAATAAACATGGTCACCCTACCCACCGAAACTTAACAATTAAAAATTCCACGAAAGTTGTCAGTCAAATGTAAATTTTAGACTTGAATCCATGGCAAGAATTGAAGGGAACTATTTTATGTGGAAAAGAAAAACCAAAGGACGGTAGGGATGCATCGATGTCATAAATAGTGCTTGTCTTATTATATAAGAAGACTTTGAAAGTGGCTTTGTTGACTCTGCAGAGATGAAGAATAGTCAAAAAGCGTCAAAAATTAATTCGTCTTTGCTATCCACGGCGGCGCATCATTAGTGGCTTTGGAAATTCACATGGTGCTTCCGACGCACCAAGTTACGTGCTCACGATGATTATTTCGAGCGTGTAAGCATGTAGTGGCTATTATCATTTGCTTTGCTTCGAAGGGATATTTAAAAATGCAGTAATAATTATTTTTTAAAAATATATATATAAATTATGTATTTTTTATTTTTAAAATATTATTTTTATTATTAATAAAACACGGTTTTAACTACTATCCCTAACAATACCAAAGTAAATGCTTAGATTGGAAAATAAAAGCAATAATCGAGAATGATAAATAGCTATAAATAAATAAGTTATTTTTTCTTCAAATTAGAATCGTTATTTTCTAAATCGTTGCTAAAATTATAAAATTATTTTATAATTTATTATCATTTTCTATACATTATTGTTGCTTTTTTGTTCCACATATAATAAAATCCTCACTATGAAATTCTGAAAGAGACAGCAGCAGCTAAAAGCAACAACATTTTAGCTAGATAAATAAAGCTTAACGACTTGATATGTTCTTATATTATAAAATATTTCTTTGATCTATTTCTATGTATCTAATTAAGTTAATTTTATTCTTTAATACATATTAAATTTATAATTTATCATTCTTCTCATGTAAAAAACTTATTGTTAATATTTTATGGATGTCCACAAGAAGATAATTAATCCATAATAATTTTTACATTTTAAATTTTTATATATTTTTAAATTTATTGTCTTAAAAACAGAAATTATCTTTTTTATTATTCGATTAACAAATTTATTTATACATACCGCTTCCACGAGTTTTCTCGTCTCTTGCTTTCCTTTAAAGTCCACGTATTCCCATCATGGCTTATTAGCTTTCTACTACTATCATTCTCTCTCTACCCTTTCGCAAAAATCGACACTTCATGACTCAGAAATCCTGACCCCATCTCCTAACAATTCATAGACAGGTAGGGTTCTGCATTGCACCATTCTTCTCAGGAGCTGGTGGGATGTCACAGATTTCAAATAGATGGTAGGAATGGACCTCTCGATGCTAAGTAGGGCCCAAATTGCCGCCCAAAGGCCATTGTAGATTCACGTTCAGAGAACATCAGATGCGGTGCTTAGCCAACGGCAGAGAAGAAAGATTACGTCTGTAGCTGAGTAGAGGACAATTATCTGTGCTGTCATTGAGGTTTTGGGCGACAGGCTGTCCTCTCCTGAGGTTCTAAGCTCTTTCAAAAGACAAGCCCAATCAATGTAAAAGTAAAAGTTAACCGTTCAATTTGTAAGAACATCAGTCTTTTTTATAAGCCGACAACTACACTTTTTAAATTTGCTATTATAGTAATTATTTATTTATGTGATCATTTCACCGATGTTTTTTTAGCCTTGTACCAAACACCTTTTAAGAGCAATACCAAATGAAAATTTTTTAAATATTTTTGAACATCATAGTTTCATATATTTATCTTTTAACCGTAAACTTCACGTTTCACTCTTTGACTATTTAGTTTTGGTCCTTGCAATTCTCATTAAAGTTCATTTTGGTTCCCAAAGTTTTTATTTTTATTTTTGATCCTTATAGTTTCATGTATTTATATTTAATTCTAAAAT